ACTTCCCATCAATGGTGATGGGCATGACCACTGAGGCCCCTTGGCCAATTAGAGGCATGGGGGTGCCCACCATGCTCTGTCCATGAAATGGCTTCCCAGGTTCATGTTCTCTCCATTAAATCAAAGGCAGCCCCCATGAATTAGGTAGATCCCTACCCATAACAAATGGGGAAAAACACTCCATCTTGGAATCGCGCTGAGATGGTATTAAGAGGAGGTACTAAAGGCCTCGCTTTAACTGTTGGTTGCCCAGAAAAGAAAAAAGAATATAATTTCCACTAAGTGCTATGGTCTGAGTAGAAAATATTTTTGCATGTTATGCTTTAAACTATATATAAATACACAGCATTTTGTTTTGATCATGGAAAAGTGTGGATTTTGTTTTTATACACACACAGAGTATAGCATACATATAGTGACATTTCATTTTAATCACAGAAAAAGTGGCTTTTGTTTTTGGTTTTTTTAATCATAAAATTTTGGATATTTTTTTTGTATCTGAGAAAACAAGGATCTCTGCTGATTTCAGATTCAACAGCCTATATAGAAAAACATGTTTCTCACACACACACACACACACACAGCATTTTGTTTTGATCGTGGAAAAATGTGAATTTTGTGGGGGTTTTTTCAATCAAAAAATTAGATGATATAGATATAGGGGGAGGGGGATTAATCAGAAAAAATTGGGGTTTTTTTATCAAAGAAAACCAGGATCCTTGGAAGTCAGATAAAACTGACATAATAAGGCCAAAGACAACATAAACTAATGTCTTCTAAAACATGCATGCCATATATTTTGTTGATCAATAAAAATATTAGAGTTACTTAATTTTTAAGAAGAAAGTATTTAAATGAAAGCAAACTTTCATGAGATTCTAATTATAAGCATTGAAATGACATGTATTTTGTTGTGTACCTTTTTGGGTAGGTGAATAATACAGAGATCTATTGGCAAATACACAATTCTCAGTAGTGCTGTCAAACAAGGAAAATGTATATTCTTGGACTCGGGAGTGTGGCTTGAGTGTTCACAAGAGAAATGATTTCTGCTTTGCACTCTAAAGAAGACTAAATTTCAAGAAGACTAAATGATGTGATTCTACTTTGAGGGGGATATCCTCTTATTACCCATATATTTTATTCTTTGTAACAGACATAAATTATTACATCTCATAACTGTTCACTGTGAAACTATTCAGATGGCTGTGGGGGAGAATGTTTAATTGTTTTTTTTGTGATGTACTTAAGTTAGGTTTCATAAATGACTTCAAACTGGAAGAAAATTAAATTATTATAGCTCCAATAATCTATTTATTGTAGGGCATTTTTATATGTATAAAATATCATTTTATAGAAAACAGCAGAATAGTAAATCTGTAAATAATTCAGTGAATTGTTATAAACACCTTTTCATTTTGGCAAGATAAATAAATTAGGTTAACCCCTGTTGTTATTGTTTTTTATTAATTTATTTTTCACAAATGTGGTCCTTAGCTTCTAAACTTTAATAGCTCAAAGAAACAAGCTGTAGGAACATTTAAGATTTTTCATGTATGATATGAAAAACAACAATAGTTTTGCAAACCTACCCAAATAGTGACTTTCCTTCTTAAAGGGGCTTTTTAAAATATTAATAATTTCAGCACTCCTGATATAGGTAAACATTATCTTGTCCATTTCACAGATGCAAAACTAAGGCAGAGATTTTGTGGTATTCTCAAGGACACAGAGACAGATATAACCACAAATCGCCAGAACAATAATAACAATAAATATGTATGGAGCTATAGCCAGAAATAACTCAAGGCTTAGATTCTTTGGGTGTGTCCATACATGCAGGCACATGCACTTGCAGCAGCTCAAATAGAAGCAGCACAAATTTGTGCTGGAGATTTTTGCCTCAGCACATATGCCTGGATATGCACTTTGGTGTGGGGCAAGCTGTGCTACTTGGAGCAAAATGACCCTGCCCAGCTCCTCCCAGATCTGCATCCAGGGGGAGCTAGAGGCTGTATAAAACCTGCCCTGGTGAGCAGCTCAGGGCTGCTTTCCCTCATAAACTTCTGAGGCTCAGCCAGTTGGTATCTGAGGATGTTACCCCTTATGCCAGCTGGACTGCTGAAGCAGCGCTGAGTACCCTGCACCTTCTACCTTCTGAAGAAGTCTCGCAGTGGTGGCTGCTGCGTGGCTGTGATCTGCTGCCACCTGTGACAGCATGTGTCCCCTTGGACCTGCAGCCCCATGGCTGCATGCCTGCCAGACTCAGATGGGGTGCCCCTGCCCTGCCATCTAGGTAGTTATCACCCCAAAGATGTGCTCCTTGTGGTGCTCTGCTTTGAACTGTCAAAGCATGTCCTCTTGGCCCCAAATGGTCAAGAGGTCAGCCACCTTGTCTGCCCTCCAGCTGTGTCCCCAGTGCTTCTCTGGCAGAATCTCCCCACTTATCTCACCAGCAGAGATTCCGGTGTTCCCTGTTTAAAAATTGCAAATTCTCTGATAAGAAACCCAAATTCTCTCATTAAAATACCCAAAATAGTGTTCTTCCGCTGTTAAAATGAAACACCACTATATAGAGAGAGATCAGTTGGACAATGTTTTATTGATATATTTACAACTTTAAAGCAATGTGCAAGCTTACCAGTGCCTTTATCATCATTATAAAATTAATTCTAAAAGTAAATGCCAAAGTGTATAAATATTATGTTTTCTGTCATAGAAAAATCCCTACCCCTTCACTTGCCACCATGTGCAGTGCTGAGCAGCACTGATATGCCAGTGCCCTGCCCCTGCCCCTGCCCCTCTCTCTCAACCCAAAGCCTGCCCCACTCCATCCCCAGTCCTCTCACTCCTGACCCATAGTCCCTTCCTGCCCATACTAGCTCCCTTCCAGCCACAGCTCTGCCCCAACACCAAGACATGAATCCAGCTGCTGTCCCACCTGCTGCTTTGTGGCTCTTAGCAGTCCCAGCCCTTGCTGTTCTGCTCCCTGCCCCATCCTGGGAAGTCCTCAACTGGGGATCAGGGCCTGATCTAGGCCCTTTGCTCCCAGGTTGGCCTCCCCCTTCACAGGTTGCTCTAGGGGGAGAGAGGGGCTCTAAGACCAGCTCTGGTAGCCCCTCCTGCCCGCAGCACTCCTCCACCCCCAATCACCCTCTCTCTCTGATACACCCCTGCTGCCACCTCTACTCCTTCCTCCAACCCATCATACTCACCAAATGGTTCCTGGGATCAGGAGTCCCCCCAGGTTGGAGGCTGCATGTCCCAGCACTGATGTGGGCACAGGGCAGAGATGCAGTGTGGCAGTTTCCCCTGCAGCTGCAGCTCCCCCCAGCAGGTCCTGTCCCATCCCATGTGGCTGGCTAGGCATGCAGAGTGTAAGATTTGTGAAGGGGATATGGGGTTGGGAGAAAGAGGTGTGAGGGGTTGGGGTGGGGTTTCTGGGGG